ATTTTGTTGCTTTTTTCTTCTTGCCTCATTTTCACATTTTAAACTTTAAAACTATATTTCAACAGCTTATAGCTCAAAAGCTTTTAACATCTTTATTTTCAAAAAAAAAATTTTTTTTATTTAAATCTAACTATACTTACACTATTGAGAGAAAATACATTGGCTTTATTTTATTTCGTACATTGATGCATATATTAAAATAAAATGACAGTTTTGCAAATAAATTGCAAAAACTGGTTCTGTATGACAAGAGCTCAACAACCATTTTTGTTTATTAAATTGTTTTTAATAAAGATCGATTTTACGCGTTAGTCGTGTTGCAAATGAAAATCACGATATTAAAAAGTTGCAACAAAACATTGCGAGAGACAAATTTTTTTTATGGAAATATGCACGTCGAGCACATCAAAGTAAAATAACATTTATACAGTTGTAAATAATACCAGGGTTATTGTGTTATTTTGTGTAGTAACGGGAAGAACGCTACAGATCATTATTATTTTGTATGCGTTTTCAGTTAAAATGGGTAAATAGAAATAATAGTGTTATAAAGCCAAGAGTTTTCGCAAAATCAATCGTAGATTGATCAAAAGAAAAAATTAGCGATAATACGACCATAATTCTGGGACACTTCGTATATATACATAGACTCCATAGAGATGTCTCATCGATGATGTTTAATTCAAGCTGCGGATACAACGTACACGAGAAATACGATTAATTAATGAGACGATGACACGTAACTACGTACAGATACGTGGCGCAACGTTTCATCGTGGTCAATGCATTCCGTTGACACGCGTGAACGCATCTCGCATATCGAACGCGCGGATAATCAGATTAGAAAGTATCATCTGTTACATCGAGCCGGTATTTGTTTATTTTCCATTTTTTTCCCTGTTGTTTTTACCAAACAGAGCAGTGCGATAAATTTACCTGCGCGACTGGAATGTCGATCGCCCGTTGTCGAGTGAACGTAATCGAATATTTGGACACGTTGCTATTAATCGGACTTCGCGTTTTAAATTTCAAGAATTTAATGGACCCTCTATCACATATCAGCATCCGATTTTTTTTTTACAGAAATTTGATGCGCGTAATTCTACACATTTAACGTCACGTATAACGTTCCCATTCTTTGTAAAAAAAATATAATACAATTTTTATCCCATTATTTATTCTTCAGGCATCGATCAAGATCGAATATCTGCTATTAATTTTGTGCAAAAAGTATGTAACTAAAAATTAATAATAAAGAAACTATAATGTTAACATTAATAATAATTTCAATAATAATAAAAAAAACATCTTTGATAAAGTATTGGGTATTTCTTCTTTTTTTTTAAAGATAATACAATTATTAGATAATTATGACGTTTTGCGTATAGTGAAATATAAGCAGCGATTCATAAATAGTATCCAATTATAGCTATAAATTCAGATCTTTATAGAAAAACTAATCTTTTCGGAAAGTTAATTAATTAAGCATTGCTGATGAACTGTCTGATTTAACGAACAGAGAATATCAAAGCTGTCAAAATAATAAATACAAATAGCTGACGTATCAAACTGACTTGTCATAGAATCAATCGTTTAAAACGTTTCACTCCTATTAAGTAAATAATGACGTTCCACTACAAAACGTCACGGTCCACTCGATCGTGTCACCGGCATGTCGTATTCAAGAAAATTGTTTCATTATCTGGTACGTGCTTGAAAATAACTCAGTTTGACGCAAGCAAATTCCGCCAGTGAATGCTAAATAAAGGACAGATGACAATACTGTGAATTAAATGACAAATCTGCAGTTAAGCTCTCGTTTCTGTAAAAAATATACGTTTAATAAATAAACATTTTAAAATTATTAATTTGGTTATGTGTGCCAATAAATTTTATCTAATTAAGTAAATTTGTATAATCATACATTATATCTGTGATCTTTTAAATAAATTATTATATATAAAGCAGACAACTATAAAAAAATTTATAACATGAAAAAATTAAGACAGCAATAAAGTTATAAAGAATCTCGCTAAAGAATTTTATTAATCTTTTTGGGATGTACGAATTCTCTTCTGCATGCCAAATTGATGACACGATCGAAATAAAATAACATACCAGGGAAAAGATTTTCAAAGGTCGGAAATTTAGACTGACATAACGGAAATTTCGTCCATCATTCACTATGCGACAATACATTAGCGGAAAATTCAATGGACGGATTAAACACGATCGCCGTGCGTCGTCGATGTAATAACAGCGCAGGTTCGTAGTGGCGGCGATGCATTTGCGCCATGGAGAAAAGCGGCAAAATACTACGCGCGTTGAATAATTCAAGGCAAACGGAAGAGAGAGACAGAGACAGAGATAGAGACATAAAGACAGAGAGAGAGAGGGGGGGGAAGGGGAGAGGGAGACGAGCCGCGTCTCGTATTTGTACAACTGATCGCTGAATATTTAGCGATGTGTTTATCCGAATCATGATCTCACATTTCGGGCTTTACGTTCGCTTTAACGTATTGCAAATGCTGCGGACAAACGATCGTTCGCGTTCACCGGGATACCGCGCGCCTCTCGTATAATATGTTAAGCTTCTCGCAAGTTGCCATTTATTCGAACTGAAAAGAGTCCAACGGCGCAAATCGGCAAATGGAAAAGAAATAAATGCGAAGTGAAGCTATTCTCAACCGTGGCTTTTCCGCGGCGGCCGCTCAGAATACCGACCCCTTTGAATTGCGCCGCGATTTTGTAAATATTTGTTTCACAGTAGTGCGCAGTTATCATACACATTTAACAAATATATTTGTAAATAACGTATACTGACGTGGAAATGAAATCCGCGCTTTATATATACCGAATTGTTTGGTCTATAGCTGACGCGCACTATATTTTAATATTCTCGGAAAAGAGTCAAATCATTGCGAGATTTGAATGTTGTTTCGTTTGAAACGTCGGTGGATGGGGAGGGGGCTTTAAACTCTGCTACTGGATGTTACGAATGTCACAGAAAAATATATTTTTGACTGCATCATTACGATTCCGCTCTTCGCTAGAAGATATCAGGGAATCGATCCGCCGATAATGTCGCGGATATTGACAATTGTTCGGTCATAACGATATGGAAACAGCGTGTGTACCATCGTCTCTTATCTTCTCTCTCCAACCTCTTTATCCCTCCTCTTCGTCGCATTCGGATATTAAAGTTTGTTCATCGCGATTTCATATTCAGGTGGTGCCTCTAGGCCAATGTTTGCATAATTTTGGATTCCTCTTGCTAGCTGTCCCATCGCGACTCTTCTTTCAGCCCCGGACCATCCCGCAGCGAACCTCTCCCTCCTCCCTCGCTGTCGCTGATCTTTTCAGTGGTGTCGCCGGATTCGCGAGATGAAGAAGGGGGATTGTCCTTTGATTTCGCTGGCGCTTTAATCGTACCGTCTCTCTTTAAAGGCTCTTTGAAGAATCGACTGTTCTGCAGTTATTGAAAATTAAGCGTCTATTTATCAACCCCGGAAATAAACCAGCGATGTGAATAGGAAATCTGTCCTTTAAAAAGTCGTAACTTTTCTCTTTTGCTGTCTGTATATGCATACGTATAAATCTTTAAATATAAACGATACGTACATTACGTGTGCAACGCTTTTTATAACGACACTTATTAAAAGATAACGTTTATACAGTGTGCATGACGAAGAGACATTTCACAGCAAACTGATGCATATTTGTGGGACATCGGATTGCTCCGCTATAGAATGTATCGGGCAGCCTTCCGTTGTCCTTTTTGTTAGCGGTTGATTCTATTAAAGCCCATCAAAACGCCTATGTTTGTCCTCATTTGCATCGGACCGCGAGTCGACAATACACAATTCTAATTCACTGCGCTGTCTGTCGCTGTAACGACATTATCGGGCGCCCGTCCGCGCCTTCCCCGCCTGACATAATTTCCATGTTACACTCTGCTCGCCGCTTCTGCATTGACGTTCCATCTATTCCTTTCCAGATATGGTTGGTATGCTTTGGAATATTACCTATTCGGAATATTACCTCCGTATGACCTATTTACACGCCCCTTTCGAAGAGAGTTATTGGGGCCGGAGAATACATTGCGGTACAAAGATGCCAGGATTCAAAATTATTTACGCAGGTATCCTAAGAAATAGAGTTCTTTACCCGCTGGCGCACACGGCCTTATGCACTTTAAATATTAACTCGGTGTACACTGTCCGTGTCAACGTCGGTCCCGCTTATCTTCAGGACGTCATGCAAGATTCAGCTTGTCCGAGTTCGTTGCATAAGAATCGTTCATTTTCTTGAGGAGTTACGTATGCCCAAAGAGAAGTCTCGAGAATCGGTTTCAGCTGCGAGAGCTTAAACTTTAAGGCGGCTGAAATTGTAGGGCAAACATCGACTACGACGAAGACTGCACATGCTTCTTGGAAAATGGATCTCTCCATTCTTATTTCGACACGCGCTATCGTGACTTGTTTTCTGATTTTATTTATTTCGTATATAGCAGTGGAAGTTTATTGAACAATTGGATTTCTTTCTTAAATATATCGATAATTTTATACAGATAATTTACTAAATTGGTGTAGGATAGCGATTGCTCTTGCAAAGCAAAGAACACCAATAACGATACATCCTTGGAGATTCGTTATAAAAAAAGAATAATGTAAATATTGTAAATAATTCTTATGTTAGTCGAAAATATTTTTATAAAATTATCCACCGCATCGTGTAATTAAGATTGATGTAATTGTCCTTTTTCGGTAGATGCGACAACGTAATAAATTTTCAGTAATTAAATAATTTTATGACAGTTATTGTTGTTTCTAACAAAATACATTACATGTTTTATTTAACCAATTCAATTACTTCAGTCGACTTGATATTATATTTTCTGTTTTAAGATAATGTCTCCAGATGTTTTCTGTATTTCGTCAGAAATCGTTGCGAGAAACGTTTTCTCGATTCCGTGTGAAAGAATAGCGAGGGTCGTTTACCTTTTTGATCCAGCTTTTCCACAGGTCTCGATCCCAGGGATGATGGAAGCCCAGATACAGATGCCTGGTTTCGCGATGGCGACTCTCTTCGGGGTGTTGGCTCACATGGCACTGTTGAGTGACCCTGGGAAACCCAGTGACACGCAAAACGAGTTTGCCCAGACGTGACGGCGCATAGCATACCGCGCCACCTCCGTCGCCCAGTTCCATCCATTCTGCTCGCGATTCCGGACAAGCTGGGGAAAATGCGTTTGTCTCGTTATTTATCAGCTCTTTGATAAATTGGGAGTAGTACGATCGTGGCTATACCGGCGATACCGGCGTAAGAAGCGTCGCAGAGAGATGGTGAAAAGCGCGTAGGGTGGAATATTTTCACAGATAATAATAGAAAAAAAAATGTAAAATAAATGGAATGTTATTTTTATTATTAGAATTGTATGCTTCTAACTTGTCATAGTTTCTCAATTCAGTTCGCTCGTAACTGAAAAACTGTCGGCAAAAAACTAGTTTAACGCCAAAGCGACCGTCATTTCTCTTCGTTTGTATGGTTGACAGAAGCAACAATTTTTGACGTGTCGAGTACGCAATACCATCCTTCCGGCACGCGTGTACTTTAGACACGTTGACGCGTATCGACGTCGAAGCTTTAACACTTGAAATTTCAAATACTACGAGCTCGACAGGTTTTAGACACGCGACGTGGCGACTCCATTTCTTGCTTCAACGGCGGGGTCTAATTACGTCGAGCTACGCCGAGAATGCCGGACGGTCATTGATATTCCGATGACGGCCGGTTACATTCCACGGCGCGGCGTCGGCTTTCGAGGAACATCCATCACTGGCCGGTACTCTCTCACAGACACAAACGCCATCGGGTATTATCGAATTTTTGCCCGTCTCTCGGGGGAAAACAAAACCAGACGCTTCCGACGATCCGGTGCAAAATTTATCCGGAGCGACGGATCGCGAAATACCGGAGGGCGCGATGCTATATCGAGAGGGAGCAGATACTTGCATAATCATAGAATTAGCATTTTGGAAGAATCCTCTTTTGGAATCTTAAGAGATTTTGCAAGCTCTCGTATACGTTTAAATTAATAAATTCTGAAACGTCATAAGAGATTCTTGGATTTTATGTTTTGTAAGCCACAAATCTTGCAATTTACGCTTTTTTTTAAATAAAAATTTTTTCCCTATCTCTCTCATAATATTACTATCGCGATTACTATTATCTATATTACTGCTAGTAGCAATGGATAGCTAAAACGGATGATTCTACAACATAGCTTATTAACATATTTAGATCATTTCTCCTCCTTCATATCTCCTCGCTAGCTCCTCGACAAGGCTAAAGACCAAGTCTTATCTTATGTAATCCTTATCAGCTCGTGCAAACATGCGCCCTTCATGTATCTTCTGCATATGCAAATGCAGCAACCTCTATTAATCCAAATAATCTGTTTTGAATTACATAAGAAACGATAAAGGTGCAACAGATTTTTAAACGATTTTCCTTATTCCGCGGGAATTAAAAATATAACACAATATTTGTTACTATTCCATGAAACGCGGAGTGAGAACGATCGTGTTTTCCCATTGTTCTCGAATTGCGGTGCCAAGCGTTAGAAAATAGTTGAGGCTGGCAATACTTTGTTTCAGTTGTTAAGCGATACGGCGCACGCGGTTGGCATCGTTTCCCGATGAGACTGCTGTGCTGCTGTACAACTAATTTCCGGGGCTGGTTCCAAAACTAAACGCCCCGAGAAGTTCTTGCTAGTAGCTCATTAAGTTAGATTCTAACAAGTTTAACGTATTTTGTTAACTTCATGTAGGACGAATAGAATGTGTGTATGAGCATTTAAGACAAATTATGTTTCATTTTTACGAGAATAAGCTTTTTACGAAGCCATTCTTTTTTAAAATAATTTATATTAAGAAATATTTCTACTAGAGCACGGTCATTAAAAGTGTAAAAAGTCAAATTTTTTGGAAGATTAAAATATCTAAAATATCTAAAAATTTCAATATATAAAAATGTTTAAATATCTCTACAAAGAAATGATTAGTTATAGTTAAGGATCAGATGATTTCATGAACTATCAAGATCAGATTGTTAAATTAAAGATATATACAAGCGAGGGGTTTCGTTTAATCTATAACGTGGGGTCAACGGCATCAGGAGAAGTGCCGTTTGCCTATATACGTGCCAGAGAAATCGCCGAATATTCGTTTCCGAATCGTAGAATTCCAGGCAATTCCTAATTGAAGCCAGCGGTATAGCCGCAGCTTAAATCAGCAAATGCCGGCGAGGCTGGTCAGTTTCTGGAATAGTCGCCATTCTCCATGCTAGATTGTGGTTCCATTTGCAAGATACGTATCGAGCAGTGGGCAATTTCCTAACAGCGGTGCATAGGGTATATACAAAGTCCCCGCGCATTCTCCGTGAAATCGGTGCCTGTTACGATGAATTAAACACTTTTGGGAGTCTCGAAAAATAGAATAAAAATCCTAGAAACGTTTCAGAATATTATTAACGTTTTATAGGTTCCTCAGATATTTGCATTGTCCGAAAATATAATAGAATGTGAATTTAGATAATTATTATTGAAAAATTTTCATCTAACAATAACTCTACAAGACTGAAAGTTTGAAATGTTGAACATATACGATTGTCAAGCGAGAAAAATCATCGACATTAGCATATCAGTATAGAAATACGGTATGATGGGAAAATTATTTTCAGACGCGCGCGTGACCGGGTACGCAGGTGGCGAGATCAGGAGATCGTCTGGGCTAAGAACGATGCGGATGTTCTGCCTCCCGTCACGTTTGGCGGATACGAATCTCAAAGCGATGACCGGGAAGTCTGGCGGTCCCGAGGAAGTTGTTCGCTGTTGATTCAGCACCGGGTCCGCGATGGCGAACACCTGTTACCGTCGCTATCTCGAGTTTAATCAAGGCCCTGGCTCCCGTAGGAGCAGCTATACGTATAGGAACGCGGCTCTCTAACTGACGGGATGCCGCGGGACGGCTGGGTTTAGCGCGTCGTTGGGCGCTTATGGGACACGCTCGTTAAAATCGACTACCGGCCACCAGTGACCGACGATATTTGGGTCACTCTTGGAACGCCATTTAACATATGCGCTATACACAGGTTCCTATCGGGTGTCATGCTTCGAATATTGAAGTAAAAGTTGTAAAAGTAGATTACAGATGGATAAGTTTATCTAAAAAGCTAATTTTTAATTGCACCGTTTTTGGAATTAAAATATTTCTTGATACGCGCCATATGTATTCCGGTCAGAATACATCAGAGGGTACGCGAAACTCCGAAATTTGACGTGAAACATGCAGTTTACATTAAAATGTTAAGTTTCAAATTATAATTACAAAGGAAGCTAATTTGAAAGTTTTACATCACAGCTATTTCATATTTTAAAGTAGCAAATTTCTTTAAAGGATTTAAAATGACGAATAGAGAAAGAAGAAAAAACAGATGATAATTTATAATGCTAAAAGGGAAGAAAATCTGAAATTCTTATTTACAAACTTATATGATATAAAAGCAATTACGATTGCTTCAATATCGGAGAAACAGTAGTTTTGAAGTTTAAGCCACGTAAATGACTGAAACAGCACGTCTAAGTAGTTCAATATTGCGAAGTAATATTATTTTCAAGAAGAAATAATACAATATTTCAATAAATGCCAAGTCAACGGACAAATAAAATGATCTTTGCTTATTGCTTGTATTACCGAATTTTGGAAAAACATAATACATATTTCAAATGTAAAAGGAGCAAAATTTGGGATAAAAATTCCAATTTTAAAATACGTGTGATGAAAATTTTAACACGACGGGCATCACAAACAACGTGATATACGCTGCTCACGCTGTCAATTCACTGTTAAATAATTCCACCCATTTTCGGCGTTATATACGCCGCGGGCATGCCGACGTGAAATATCGATCGCCTAATTTTTCGGTAGCTTGAATGACGCGCGTCGATTCAACCGTGTAAAATCGCGAAGTCGAAATTCTGCAAGCGTTCCCGACCGGACGTTATCGTGGTTTCGCCGAGAGTAATGAGGGGTTGTTGGCCATCTTGTCGTTGACGTCGCGCACACATTTATGGCTTAGAAAATGCCGAATGTGCCTGAATGTTTCGCAAGGGAGACGTTTCAATTCCGGTCACGTTCGGCAAAGTCGTGTCCAACTTCGTTGTCATTTGGCAAAAATACCTGAGCCAACGGTCTTCGTAAAGATAAATGCGTGCAAATTATGAAATGTTATACATTATAATCTCAAAGTTTTAACAAGATACTATTTAATTTTTATCTTGTATAAAAGTATACACAGGACTTTTTGAGATAGTAACTCACAATATTTAAATGCATATTTCTCGACCAAACAGGTTCGTTAAACAGGCTTATTAGATGAGCAATAGAATAATATTCTTCTTATAAAAATGTAATAATATAATTTTTATCTTATGCAAAAGTGTATACAAACTTTTTCGAGACAGTAACCTGATATTTAACGCGTGTTTCTAGGCCAATTAAGTGAGTTCGTTAAATGGCTTTATTAGGCGAGCAAGAGTAGGAAGTATATTCTATTTTATAAAAATTCTATCAACACTCCGTTTATTTCAATTCAATATATTACTCATCCGTGTTGTAAATATAGTTCTTGTTACGCGAGTAACGCCATTTTTCTTTCGCGCGATAGCGACGCGCCGTATCTGAATGTTCGGCGACGTAATTGCACGTCAGGACGATAAATCCTTTTGGCCGAAGAAATTCTTGATCCACGGCACGCATCCTGCTCGGTGACAGGATCGTTCCAACAGAAGGATAAGGGACGGACATAGATAAATCATGATGTTTCGGGTACCGGGAAGAGAAGCAAGAAGGAGGTGGGGAAGATATCTATGGGGCTGATCCGTAATATTTTCTTTCTCGGCAGCTTTGTCTTTTCCAAGATACCTTTGGATTCGCAATTATTTACATAAGAGCAACTTGACAATTTTGTAAGATAACTCGATACATTGACACATGTTAATTTAAATCGAGTTGTAAATATCACTATAATATCTTGTATCAAATAATGTTTTCTACCGTTTAATTGTTTAATATGTTTGAAATTTTCCGAAAGTTTTTAAGTTTGTTTTTTAGTTTGTTTTTCAACTCACTTCTAAAAAGTTTTAGTATTTAATTCATTAAAAATTAACTTCAATCTGAATCTTAAAAGCGATAACTGGAACAGTAATTTCAAAAATGTATTTTTATTTCTAGAGAACAGCATCTGAAAATAAATTTTTGAATTAAGAGACGTTTCCACGAAATTTAGTTACATCAAGAGCTAATTTTATAAATTCTTTCGGGATTTTGTGAACGAATTACGGGAGAAAAGAGACAGATACTATCGTATGATTCCTCCTAATGTCTTTGACACCGGCTTAGGAGTTGTTTCCCTACCGCCATCAGTATTTGCTTTTTGCCCGGACGGGCCGCACGCGTCCTTTTGTCTTAAATTTTCGTATCTCGATTGGCAGGATCCATCATGAATGGAACACTTACCCGGATAAAGGAAAAGCCTGGAGTCGATTACGGCCAGAGGTCGTCGCTTCCACTGAGGAAAAACCAACCCCTTCAATACCAAAGTGTAGCCGCAGCGGCTGTATCCCGCCAGATCTGGCAATGGCGATGCGGGTCCTGGCAAAAGGAGAAAAAGATAAAGCAGTGAATAACTACGGCTTTAATCAACGCTCGAACGATTCAGGTGTTACCCTTTATAGGAGCGACACCATTTGAGATCAAACGATTTAGGTTCTAATATGGTCATATGAATTTTTTGATACGAAAAGGGAGCATATATTTACTTAAAAAATGATTCAATTATTGAATTTAAAATATATGTTAATTATAAATTTTATTATTAAAATTCATGTGATATGTATAATAAATTTTCAATTTATTTACTTTAAACTCCTTAAATATTTTTATTTTTTCCGAGTTTGAAACAACTGTCGTTATATCAATACATAAATATTTTTTTCTCAAGAGAAAGAAATATTTCTTTTTCGCAAAAATAAAAAAATGATATCTATGTATAAGAATTATAAAATTAATCATATGTATATAGATAACATTAAAAGAAATTAATTTAAATATATTAAATTAAATTATGTTACGTTGATGTGATTACATCCAAATATAAGGTAAATGTACTGCCTAGACACGTATATATACCTATGTCTGGACATTTTCATCATTTTAGTCCTTAAATAAGTTATAACGCAAATTAAAATCAAAGATAAAAATATTTTCTTGTATTATATTTTTATCTTTGATTTCAATTCGCGCGTTATATTTGTTTAAAAACTAAAATGATAAAGGTGTCCAGACATAGGTCTTAATAAGGGTCTCGGCATTGGTACATTTACCTTAAATTTCTTATTATAAAATATTTATTTCTTTCTCTTTATCTTTTCTGAAAGTTTGCCGATTCTATTCAAAACTGTTCTATATAGTGTAGTATATGGAATTTTTCATTGCATATGCGGCGCCAAACGGCGCGCGACAAAATTGAGTTACGTTCGCAAATAGAAACGCAAATTCCCAGAGAGTTTTGCAGACCATATGCGTCATGCGAATCAAAATGTTATTTTTTCGACTCATTGTGTAGCGATATAGACCTTTAAACGTTTTGCGGAGATGTAAAACCATCACAGCTAACTCGTAAAAAGTATTTGATGTTGTATCGCCCTCATAGTTTTCACACGACATTTTTTCAACGGCAATTTTTCAACGGCAAATTTTTAACATGTTTGATCGTACAAATGGTATTTTGGTTATTAAAGTATTTGAAAATAACGTTTTTAATAGTTTCTCGTGAGAGAAACTATTAAAAGTTAACTTGAAATTTATTATATCCAGTGAATATGTAGATAACGCAAATATTATGAAATCCCTAATGAATCTAATTTTTTCTAAAAACACTAGCTTACATTTATCGTAAATTTGTTTTAAAAATATGTGAAAAATGCTTCGATTAAATAGCGCTTCAAAGTTTTTACAAAAACACATTTAGAAATCAATATATGCGGCAACCGAAAGAGCAAATGCAAACGTGTAAAAAGTAAAGTCTCTATTGTCAGAAAAAAAGCAATTATTACCCTGGCAGCGCATGATATTTCCTTGTGGATGTGTAAATATCAGACTACGTCGCCGTCGGCGAGAAATTCTCGCGAGCTTTGCTTCGCCATCTCTGCGATAAAATCCAATAAATCGTGCGCGGTTATTAAAGCCAGCGTGCGTGAGCTTTATCGCGACTGGAAAATGCCACGGTACGAACAATATTCAGCAATTTCAAAGGGAAAGCGATTTATTATGCGAGTATAGATTCTGCTATTTTATTAAATAAAAGAAAGACACAATCGGATGCTCTGGAGTTGGAATGACCAACAATGACCAATCATATTCCGGTCCGGATTAAAGAAAAATTAAAACGGTATTGTATTTTGGAAATTAAATCTTGAATAGAAAATTTTTATTAAAATTAAAATTGAAATCTGATTAGTATTATCTGAAAAAAGGCGCTTACTTATCTATCTCATAATACTTTGAGCAAGAAAATGTGATTTCGTTTAGAACATTAAATTATTCCGCAAGGTATATGTTTCAGTATTTTAATATTTAATATTCTCTTATTTTGGGAGGCATCTTAAATCGTGAGGAATCAATTGCAGATTTAACTGCGAGAATCGAAATCTATTTTCTCCCTAAAATGAATTTTGTTTGCCGTTTAAAGCTCAATACCTGATGGATTCTGTTCTCGCGAGCAAAAGTTAACGCGGGAAATTACAGGCGAGAGCATGGGAACACGATAATCGGCGTTTAACGTTTCGGCTTAGCTAGGCAGGCGGTCGCTTGCTAGGTGACGGCGGTGGCGCGAGCGCGCACTTCCGGTACTTCCGGCCAGGAAACTCTCAGTCGTTAGCGGTTATTATGGTTAAATATGCTGGCGCCGGCGGCGTCGGTGCGGCGGTGCCTGCTAGATAAATTTGCTGTTTTAATGCTCAGCCCTGCCTGCATCAATGTGCGCGACCTCATCGTAATCCCGCTCCAATTCTGCACGATAAAACGTCAAACGGCACGTGAACGCGCCATACCGCCGGATTTGCAGTCGCGGCGTAAAATGGAAGATTTTATGTTAATCTAAAAAGTTATGTTAGGCTAGAGATAAACAAGTGCGCGAAACAATGCTTGGATGATGTTTTGAATTTCTATTATAGCGCAGTAAATATATATACGTTCGGATTATCGATCATTTCGCATCTATAGACGCGTGCATTTTTTCGAATTTTTACTTTTGAATTTTTCATGTTATCAATTCAATATGTAAAGTGTAACTGTAAATATATGAAAAATAAATATCGGCGAAATACACGCACATATATATATATTTTGGATATACGAGGGAATGATCTGCAGCTGTGGAGAATACAAGAATGAATTTCGAAAAGAATTCTGGAAATTTATCTGTGTTGAACTAGATAAAACAAAAGCAGGATATGTGTATGGATTTTATATATGTATACGTTGGATGTGCGGGTCTATATAAATTAAAAAATATTTTTAATCATTAAAAATTTGAATTAACGCGTTTGAAATCTCGTACGCATGCAGCTGTAAGCATACATGTCTCACCCTCTGTCGTTCGTATCTTTGCACATTCGTATCCTTACGAGGTACGGTTATCTGAATTTTGCATATCTGGATCAAATAAACAACAAGCCATAGGTAAAGCATAGGTAAAATAAAAACATGGGAAAACACATGCTTGCACTTGCACACTACTCGGACGTCCGAACGTGTAGCGCGGAAAGTATTTACGATTGCCAGTTTTTCCGGTGTATCAGTCTGACGAAAAACAGTGCAAACGTCTCTCAGGCTGGAATATCAATCACCGGCGCGGCGGTGTCCAATATCGTTGGGTGTACCGGCGAAATGCGAGCACTACCGTTTGCCGGTGCTTGAGCAAAAACCACTCCGAAGGTACACGATAGTAAACAGAAGTCGAAGCACGAGGGGTAATTTTCGAGTTTGTTCGTGAAAAGCGACTAAGAAGACGGACAAGTAGCTCCTTACGGAGTAGAACGAAAGTTGCTTCGACCTCTCTTGGATTATATTTCTAAGACGAGCACGCATACTTTAACGTTGTAAGAGCAAATTGTAGATAAATTGCCTTATATATCTCGCCATTAAAACCGTAATTACGGACGTTAAAGGCAATCGTTCGTTGGCGAGCTTTGTGAAAGCGTCGGGAAAAAAGAAGCAGAAAAAAAATAAAAATAATGGCGAGAAGGCGAGGAAATAAATACCGTCGCAGTCTTGCGATGATGACGACGATGACGACGACGACGTCGATGCACGCGACTCGCCCGCGCGCAACACACTTTAACTTAATTAACTCGGCTAAATTGCGCCACGTAAGTTACGTAATGCGCTTCGAGTTTATATCGCCGGCGACCGAGCAGCGCACAGAAGCGCCCTGAAATTGCTCATTAATAGCGGCAATAACGTTATAATTAGCGGAGCACGCGCGCGAACTCGCTCGCCCATCGTTTCGTGTGTCTCTGTAGCGAGAACGCTCGCGAAAGTACCTACTTACGGCCCTCGTGTCGACACAACGGCCAACTCTCGTTCGGGATGCTTTGCTTAAATGGAGCGTTTTCTAGGGCGATCGCAGCTCCCGATGTCGCAACGTCGAAATCGCGCTGGATCGCGGATGACCCGTAAATACAAAGAAAGAAAAGAAAAAGTAGAATATGGCTGAAAGTTTTTCTTTCGTAATAACTGTAATGTGATGCTGTAAAAGAAGAGGGAGGGGCGCGATTGTTATACAGCAAGAGTCAGCAAAGAGTGGTTCTGTCTATCGAACCCATTTCTCCTTTTTTACTTCGGGAGAAAATAAAAAACATGCGTTATGTTTATTTGTTTGAGGAATAGGGGTGAACACAGTACAATTGTTGGCCATTCTACAATCATTGTAGAATGGCCACATCTTAAAAAAATAAATATTATAAAGAATTATTATTAAAATGTTTTTAATTATAAATACAAAAATATTATAATTATTGTTTTTTTTTATAATTAAAATCATTTCACAATAGTGTTTCTTTATAATCTTTAATTTTTTAAAATGTAGCCAATCATTGTTGAGTGGCCAACAACTGTACTGTTTACTCCTATTCTTTCTCGTTATATTTCTTTTATAGCACTTACAGTACTTATATAATTAACGTGTTTGATATATGAAAATATTCCGTAATTATCCGGAGCACGAGTCACACCTCGCTATAGATACGCTCGATTCTTCATCTTCGCTAAACCGCTCGGGTCTGCATAATCAATAGGCACACCGCTTACAATTAGTCAAACCGCGCGTCTCGCTAATTAATCATCACGCCTCGGCGCATGAAGGTTAAGACGACGGGAATTAGACGGGCGCGATTCTCGCAAAAGTTGTTCGCGAGTGCTGGGTGACGAGAAGATAGGCGAGATGACGAAGTGCTCAACTAACGCAATTAGCTTGCAGAAGGTGGTGCACGTCGGCCCACTGAGGATGTCGAGATGTAACGAAATCCGACGCGCTTTGTAATTACTAGGATTGGGATTTAATTAGCGTAATAAAAGTGTGTACACATGGCACATATGTGTATATGCACGGACACATTCTACGCATAAACGTAATAACCTAGTACTCTCGAAAGATAATACCCTTGCGTCATAGCAAAGCGATTTTTAGAACCAGTTGAGTTTTAAGTAGAGCTACTTATTAAATTTAATTTAAACTAATGAATGAATAAGAAGTTAATTGCGTATTGATATTTTCTTAGGCGTTATATATAGTTTATGAAACAATTGAAAGTCATTTCTGAGTAAGTTAAATAATACATATAAAGGTAATAAAACAAAAAATAAAATAGAGAACGTCAGTGTTTATGACATTTTATAAAGCTGAAAAATTGTTCGGAATAAATTATTTTCAAATTTAAAATAAATAAATAAATAAATATACAAATGTACAAGAGCTCTCTACAATGATTCGCGAAACAAAGAATATATTTTATCATAATTCACACTAACCTACGTGAAAGCCGATGAGATGTCTGAGTTCTGGATCAACTCCCAGACGAGCGCGCCGGGACATATCCTGGTAGCCAAGCCTTTGAAGAAATTGATCCTGAATCTCCAGCGGCTTCTCCTGGGACGCCAATCTCCTGCCTGGCTCACCGCCATACTAGAATATAAATTCATAGAATGTTTATTTTAACAACGAGCAAGAAGCAGCACGATGGACATCATCGCATTCAGGAAAGAATGAAATTCGTGCGAAGAGTGCGAATATTAAAAGAAATAAAAACAAAAGAAATATATACGAGTTTCAGGCAAAATTTGTGAAAGAAGATTAAACTGGATTAAATATATTATAAATACATTTTTATTATTTTATATTATTGATTTTATTTTGCCTCACAGTGATGATTATAATAATCGATGAAAACTTTTAATAAAATTGAAATAGAGGTCTAATAAAAATACCTATCTGATTTTAATGTTAGTGTTGCAACAAACAAAACTATCTCACAGTTCACCGGTATGAAAGCTTCAATGAATTTTTAAGATCAAAGTTATTTTCTCAGAAAACCAAGTTCATCATTTCTATTAATTAAGAAAATATTTTAACGCAGTAACTCTTTAGATCTCGTTATTTTCTTATTCGTATACGGAATAAAGTGTTTTTCTACACGGTCGTTTCTTCTATCAATAACATATTTATTGTGATGTTCCTGAAAAAATCATAGCAAAAATTTAATCGTAAAATTAATTACCAAGATATTTAATAATGAGAATCGAAGGGCGCGTTAAAATGAAATGTAAAGAGCGAGAGCAGGTAATAGAAGCGTATGTAATTAATTCAACAGTGAATCTTTCGTTAATTACAGGTCCCATTACCAGATAATTTATTACTGCTAATTAAAGGATTACGAATAAGGTATAAAATATAGAAGTTGTTAAGATTTTAGTTATAATTTAGATGTATTATTAGGTTTTGTCTCGAAAGAATTTACACCGTGTTTAATCCTTGAATAATATAAATCATCGTAAAATGTTAAAGTGATTTAAATTTAACTAATTTATTATTACAAATGCTTCTAAGTGTTAAATTTATTTCCAGAGCAGTTACTCATCGTAAATTTTTAAAGCTTGCTTTTAATCTTGCTTTTAGACCATTTCAATCTCTTTTTAATCGCAGTTAAGTTAAATATATTTATTAATTAAAAATGTCGAAGAGTTTTTAGATTTAAGTTTTTTCTTAAATTAGTTTTTAACTTTTTAAAATGTAGAACTATATTATAATGTTGTAATAATGTTATATAGTTTCTTTTCTCTAAATACAGTAAGTAGTTATAAATGTCTTATACAAGATATATGCGATGCAACATTAAATTACGCGAGATAATCTAATTAAATGTTTAAGATTTCACAAGTTTCAGTCTAACATTATACACATCGCTAACATTCCAGAAATAAAACCGATCATGTTATAAATTATATAAACTTTTGCATTATCGAGTATTTGTCGGAAATATCTCTGAGCAATCGACTATCTTTTTAAAGTTCAAGATATAACAGGTTTTGGATGGAAATAATTCTCGCCTGTTATTAGTTTTCACAGGTTTATAGGTCGCATGCGAGAAGCTTTAACTTTTTAACGACTACAAACTACAGGCAAAATACGTTTCTCAAAGTTAAAAATATATAGTGTATATCATTCAAAGTTATACTTAAAGAATTTAATTAAAAATTAAAAATTAAAAGAAAATTTTTCCCTTCTGTTCTTATATAAATAAAAATTATTAATATATTAATATAGATTATTTAAGAGATATACATTTTAATTGTAACATAATTTATTACGACTTTTGCTAGTAAAGATTAATATGACAAATTATTAGAAAATGCCGGAATGAGTACAAACATGACGATAAGTAAGTTTAAATATATCGGGCAATATTCTCACATAATAAAATATTGGACAGTTTCTTGTGTGTTAAAAAGATAATTTCATTAAAAAGATAATAATTATTGTGTGTTAAAAGGTATACATGTGATTCTAAAATCATATATAAGATTGCTGATAAATAAATAAATGTTAAAACTTCCAAAATGTTGTCGTAAACGTGCTTCTATCTCGACCACGCTTATACTGTCTTGAATTCGTTACCGTTTCATCGTATGCCGTAAAATACTCATGCGGAAAGTCTTCATTCTATTTTGAACGTCGGTACGTTTTGAGAATTTCCGGCAGTTTCCAAGTTTCAGATCGGCCTTCAAGAACGACGGATTCTCCCTGGGAAACTCGTCTGCCGGATCGTCGAGTAGGGGCTTTCAACGTCACGTCAATCGCGAACTTTCTCGGAAAAAGTCGTACTTTGGTCAAACACCCCTTTTAGGTAGCAATCGGCCGAACTTCGGCAACTGCGATCTTCGCGTAGGAGTTGCCGCTTCGCTAAATCGTTTTGCCGTCATGACTTACTCACTGCAAATTCTATCCCTCTTTCGGTAATACTTCATTTATTCGAAGTAGAATATGACATTCTGTCAAAAATTATATGTCTATCATAGAATCATGTTTCTCCCAATAATTCGCACGAGTTCTTACTATTCACGCGCAATTTGAGTTTTTGTAAAATTAACCCAAGCAAAATGTGTAATATTGTAAATCAGGAAATAATAACGTTGAGATTTATATATTAAAATTCGAGTTATAAAGCAAATAATATAGCTTATTTTGATTTATTTAATGTAGTTCGTTCATATGGGATCTCCTTAATTAATTAAAGATTATATTACATTCGCTCGTCTCATTGGAATAGATTTAATTACTCACTTTCTACAATTAATTAAAATAACTGTAATAAATTATATTATATATTGGTATTATTGCTATTATATTATATTATTCAACTATATATACCGTGTATCTTAATAATTTTTATAAAAATATTTAAAAATTTGTATATTTAAAACAAGCACTTGAAATTTTAAGAAATAAATATTATCAGATAAAAAAGTTACTTTCTCGCGATATATGACTCTTTAACATGATGTATCCGATACTTAACCATTTACTTAACCAATTACTTTTCTTCTATAAAACGTTAATCTTATACAGAACCTATAATCTTCCGCTGAATAGTAATTATTATCTAATATAATGTCATACCAGCTTTATACAGTTGGCTATCTATTTGCATGAACTCGATTTGGATGATTTTGCACACAGAAAAAAAAGAAGTGTCAAATCAACACTCCATATGCTTGTATATATACGTAAGAATATATAATCTTGAAATAAGATTATATTGCGTTGGTTCAACTATATAATTCTTCACTATATTTAACACTAATTTAACACTAATTTTCTTCGTTTAACGCAATATAATCTTATTTCAAGATTATATATTCTTACGTATATACAAGCATATCGAGTGTTGATTTGATACTTCTTTTTTTCTGTGCACGCGCCGGAATTCTCAAGAAATCGTATTTGTAATAAAACGGAGGGAGACTGCCATTCAAAATGCATTAAAGTCATTTATCCGAATGCGCCATGTAGTCCTTCGATAATTCCGTAATCTGGGAAACGGTTTTAATTCCGTGAGATAAAACAGCACGTAGCACTTCGCGAGCAAGGGGAGACATTAGTCGTGACATATGCGCCATAAAAAATTGTAATTCTGGAAAGTGGCCTGTAAATAATAACCCAGTTAGCCGCAGGGGTAAAGAGATTAATCATGCCGCGCAATAAATAGCAGGCGAATGCGGTCGCTTGTATATATCACCGCCCGTGCGTCGGATTTTCTAATTTTTGGCCTGGGTAATCCCAAATAATCTCGGCAATTTTGATGCAAGCTTAATATGGACTTTAAAATAATGACATTATTTTATAAATTGATTTATAAATGCTAATTCTCGATAATATTACCTATCACGGATTTTGATAATTTATCATAGTTTTCTCTTTAACGTGCTATATCTTTATACTTATATAAATTAACATATTGATAGCAATATAATTATAAAAATGTGTTGATATATATACATATATATATATATATAAATACCTATTGATTTTTACAGCAAATGTTTTTTATTTCGCAGCTGTTATTAGATTGATACAAAAAATTTGTTGTATTCAATTGTCGTTATGTTGTAATAAAACTAAAAACAAAATTTCAGCAAAATCGAAGCAAAATCGCTGTACGAGTTCCAGTATACTACATTTTCACCCAAAGAGAAATTTTCCCATCCTTTTTTAAAAAAAACTTTGGTTTTTAACTTTATTTAAAATAAAGCTTGACAGAAAAACGATGAACATTTGCCTCCATATGTAGGTATATGGGAGCAAATTTTTTGTTGCTTTTCATTTTTACATAGGTATATACATATATACGCTGTATGCATGTAATCTATATATATATATATAAATGAATGTAAAAATACTGTTTTTGTTACGGGTTTCAATCATTAAAAACCATTACATGAATTACACAAATATGTTAGTATCGCAAACTATTGCTATCCATTTAATATTGATATCAGGATTAATTGTATATTATTATTTGACGTCCAGGCTCGGTATAAAAATTTTCAGCGTTTTATAGAAGTTAAAATGTAAATGCGGATTCGGTAGAGAACCGCTACTAAAATTATCTTACTTAATTCCTGAAATAAAGTTTATTCACGTTCCGGAATTGAGTCTGCAACACGCTTGCAAACATCATTGCACATGCACACGTATCTAATAGGACCCTCGAGTGTCTGCGTAAAAGTTGATTTTCATGTTAAGTCACGCGGATGTTTTTCCGACTGCTCTTTTGTAATTTGATATAGAACCACGCTCGAAGCTATTCGAAATGAAAGCTGTTCGAGAGCAAAGGGAATCGTTTGGGAATGTTCGTCCCGCAGATAGCAGGAAGAGATGAAACGACATCTCTTCATTCGGCACGAAAGGCACGCTTTTCATTAATGAAGAGAGCGTAATTAAAGACCCGAATACTTTTGCACCGCGCGGATAATCATATTTCTGCGCGGAACATCTTACTCAACCGATCCGGGCATGAATTTTCGACTTCCTCGCCACGTTCGCGGATTTAGAAATTAATTTCTGCTACCGAGTCAGCGGTAGTCTAGTCTGTTGAAGTCTGGGGTCTTTGTACCAAAAAGTAACGA